GCTACTTCAGATTTATTTTACCAGGTACAAGGATACCTGCTGTCTATCAGAGATAAGACATGAACCATTTTAGAAAGTCATTACCTATGGCAGATGTTTGAAGTTTCATGTGTAGTATAGTGTGATTAACAGTATAAAATGCCTTTTTTAGATCTAAAAGTAACATGTATACAATATTGCCTTTGTCCATTTCACATTTAATACAATCTGTTAAATAAATCAAACATGTGTCAGTTAAAAAAAGTACTTCTAAACCCTGACTGAAACTGCCTGATCATGACTCGAACACATGACTTTCAGAATACCAACTGAGCTATCCGTCCGGCTACACATTATAATGAACAGTTCTTAACCATAACATATTTCCTTACTTTATTGATATTAATTTGTCCTCGAATTTCTGATGTTGACAGTGCTAGTGAATTAAACTCTGGGTTATATGCAGTCACAGGATGAGAAAAACGTGCAGCTTGACCAGAACTCGAACCTGTGACCCACAATATCATGTAACGCGGCTGTAGCGATTTAGCTTTCTGGCAGGTTACACATTTTCTCCCCTAAATAGTAAACAGTTCTAAACCGTGGCAGATATTTTTTGATATTTTAAATAACAGATAGATAAATTCTCAATTTATACAATTAAGAAAAAGAAAAACTTAAATACTCATATTCTAAATAAACATAACAATATATATATATTGTATAATTATTTTAACTAAAAAGGGCAGATATTGGTTGTGCCATTATATATATCAGGTCAATTTTAAAGTGAACATAACTGTACTTATACATGTACAATATCTTATTGTTTGTACAGGTGAAAAAACTAACCTTTTTTCTAGAAAAGAAATTTTATGGAGGCTGATTTGTGCCATGTAAAATAGAAATGAAAAAAGAAATACATTTATGTAGTTTAGTGTGTCTGCATTCTTACCAATTGCATACATTTAGCATTCATAATGACATGATATGATATTGTGAAACTGTATGAGGTATAATTTGGTTACAGATTTTAAACAAAGCTTTATTATCATTTTTAAAAATATATACATGCCATGATAGTCCGTGTTTGCTTCCTATTGTTGCAAGTACATGTTTAGATTATTGACTTAATCCATCTTAGCACTTTGTCGGGACTCTCTGGTTTGTATGCATTCAGTTCCATTCGCCCGAGACTGCATTGTTAAAAGTTCAAAATGACATTCTACGGTCTTTGGATAATAAAAATGTGACTCTTCTCGTGATGCTTGATTTGTCTGCTGCTTTTGATACAATTGATCACGGAACGCTCCTTCGCCGCCTTGAACGACACTTTGGAATTACAGGCAAGCCACTCGCATGGATGACGTCATACCTGACCAGACTGTATGCATAAACAACAAACTATCACAGCCAGTCCACATGGAGTACAGTGTACCTCTAGGGTCTGTCCTGGGACCCAAGAGCTATGTGATGTATACGAAACCTGTCGGAGAAATCTGCCGTAAACATGATCTAAACAACCATTTCTTCGCAGATGACTCACAACTCTATCTATCTATCCTTCAAATCAGTGACTAATATTTCAATTCAAGAGAATATAAACCGTATTGAAAGATGTCTTGAAGATATTGTAAGTTGGATGAATGCCAACATGCTGAAGCTAAACGACGACAAAACAGAGTTGATCATCTTCTCATCTGAACATAACGCACAACCTATTTCAGATGTTACAGTAACAGTCGACGGTTCGAGAATTAGCCAATCATCTAGTGTGCGCAATCTTGGTGCATTTCTTGACTCGAACATGAGGATGGAACAACATGTAAATAATGTCTGTAGGAACTGTTATGCACAATTAAGACAAATCGGTCACATCAGACCCTATCTTACTGTTAAAGCAACCAAATCTCTAGTAAATTCACTTGTTACCTCTAGGTTAGACTACTGTAATGCACGGTTATATGGAGTCTCTAAGCAGTCAATGACCAAGTTACAACATGTTCAAAATACAGCAGCTAGAATTGTGACCAAAACACTCAAATATGACCACATAACACCTATCTTACGCGAACTTCACTGGCTTCTGGTAGAGTATCGGGTCGAATATAAAATTTTGACTTATACATATGAATTCCTCATCGATCAATCACCAGCTTATATAAAAGACATGATAGACGTGTACATCCCTATCAGGAATCTGAGGTCCCAGAATAACTCAATGACATTAGTTGTGCCTAAATCTCGGACAGTACGATATGGTGACAGGTGCTTCCAGACAGCCGCAGCGAAATTTTTGAACGCGTTACCACCTGACATTAGAGACTGTAATACCTTGCCAAGTTTTAAGAGAGCTCTCAAAACACAGTATTTCATAAAGTTCTATGGACGTTAGTTTCATAAATCAACATACATGTACTACTTTTGCTATATTACCAGTGTAAATTTTAATTGAGCTAAATGTGTCTGTATTTCTTACCATCCTTTACTGGTTTTAGATTATCATTATTGTTTAATAGGTTTATTAATATTGTACATTATGTCTTATATATATATATATATATATATATATTATATATATATATAATATATATATATATATATATATATATATATATATGCTTATTTTTATCGGATTTATGTAAAGCACTCTTGAACATTTATTATTTATGAAAAGAGTGCTATAGAAATGTGGTATATAATAATAATAATAATAATAATAATAATAATAATAATAATAACTTTTACGTCTTCTACAATATGTCATTTTAAATCATATTGAGTTACTGCTTAGCTCCACAGTTTAGTAATAATAAATTTGTCATTGATAACATTTATTTATTATTTATTACTTTTAAAAATGTTGGATGCCAAATTTGAATAATGTATTATGTTATATATAATTGGCGTGTCCAGATATGTTTATTTTAACATTATACATTAAAGTTTATTTTAACGTGCATGCTACGGAAAGACGTTTCCCCTCCAGAATAGGTTGAATTTTTGTTGGCGACTGTCTTTGCTATGGCGGATATGTGATGATTAACTAGGGTTAAACCTGTCAGAATATGCCTATGTGCAGTCTATGAGTATCCTTCACCTTCACCTATATTTTCGTCATTTTATATCAAATGTAAGGTATTTAATTGGAAACATATCAAAATAAAATACTTATTGCCAACGTGCACCGGTGTATTTTTTTTTTTTTATGGGGAAGTACAATAAAAAAATTTAATACAACTTTTACTTATTTTCATTTTCCTCAAAAGAAAGACAATGTTTTTTATTTTCCATACAAATAAAGGGCCTTTAAAACTTCTGTACGGGGAAACCCGGCTAAATTAAATCATGGTAAAACGTTCATCTATAAATAGAAAAGGTAAACCTAAAGGATGGTACAAAATGCATTGGTGTTGCATTGGATTGTAAAAAAACATCTGCATATTTCAGTCTATCCGTTTGTTTACTTTTAGAAACTAGGAAATAAATTTGGATTGAAGAAATTTAAATGTATATAAATTAAAGTTTGTATGTTTTTGAAAGTGCTCACACGGTATCGTCAAGGCATTAGGATAAACCATTACGAGCGTGTCAGCTCTGTCTGTCTATAAATAAGATACATAGTCGAATTCCTGGTACAATCCAGCATTGACTAAAGTGTAACCGTCATGTCACAGTATAAAACGAGTTATACTAGAACGACGAACTGCAATTTTCTTGTCGTTTCACTCGCCCTTTTCGAAGATCTAATCAGACATTCGTATAATACGTAGCAATTGTTTGGTTATTCCAAAAGTATGCAGTGCACAGCTGACCATTCATGCGCAGCCATTTTACGCACTTGCATTCAAATGAATAGATTAATAGGAATTTAAATTTTTTAGCAGAATGAAAGGTTAATATTTCAATATGTATTAAAGTTTAAAGTTATTGTTAATCGCAACTAGGAGAAGTTAGAAAGCCATTATCACAAGCGTGATCAGATTATGTAATAGCTTATATTTATAATTACAGCAGATAATGCTGGTGTGAGACCATATGTTTATTTTCATCAACACGGTTACGTCATTCTATTGTATAGTTAATGTAACAGTTTCGATGTAAATTTAAATATTTTACACCTTACAAATACTCTCAAACATGTTTAACTAATGCACGTTACCAATGAACTTTAAGCTCTTGCACCACGCAATGTTCCAATTGTATCAAATCTCACCAATTTAGACTCGTTTTCATCTCCAGAGTATAAGAGGTTCATATTAAATCCATATCACACCCCATCTTGTCTCCTGTTCACTTTTACTGAGTCCAAATCCAAAATTGAAGTAACAATCAAAATGTCATTAAATGGTGCTGTGAAAGAAAGAGGTCAATAAACATGATTGAGAACAATACTGAGACATACATCTAGTTTGTAAACAGTTTTTTTAAGAATAACTATTCTTATTAAATCACATTTAGTAAATGCGGCTTTACATTTTGAAGGTTTGTCTTAGTAGAATTCATGCGGATGTGTTTGTTGTTAACGGCTTTTATTTTTACGTTACATGGGAAAAACCAAACGAATTGTTGTGTCCAATGTAGGATAATTATAATTTGAACGACATTTTTATTTCGAGTCCTGGTGTACATTCAAGTGAATTTTTAGTGAATCGTATTTTAGAAATAAGTTTTTCTCAAGCCGATGAAGGTCTAACAGCGATGTTGCATTAGAAATATTTCATAGGTAAAGCGTTTTGTCTGGACGAATGTATTATGCCAGTAATATTCGGCTTAACAAATAATTTGAAATTTAATTATTTGCTCGGAAGTGTAACATGCTATCATAAGTAGGTCAAAGATCAAAGTCACGGTGAAATGCTTTGTGAAATCAATGTGGTCGATTAAGAGGTATAATGCCTATATAATTTTAAAATTTTGAAGGGGCATTGCCCTGACAAGTAGGAGACCGTTATTGGTTTTGAAGTCATTAGGTCATTGTAAAAGTAACACATTGATATTTGTTCATTTAATTATAATATTTCATCAAATATAAAAATTATTAATCATAAAATTAGGTGAAAAAATTCATTTAAGTGTGAGAAACATTTTACATGAAATTCTATCATAAAATGTAGGACTAAATAATAAAACACTTGACTTTAATGAAAAATGCATAAGTTGGTATATATTCCAAAGTGACAGGAAATGAGTTGAGATATCTCTGAACATAAAAAAGGAACTGTTTTAAAGTTAACCTTTAAGTACAGGCAAAACTTTCACGATATTTCTTTGTTCTTTACTACAATCAAAGCAATGTCATCTGGAAACACCTATTACAAACACATTGTATTTAAAAATGCTCGAAGTTATAAAATTGTGTGCAAAGCCTTTTATTCATACATTATCATTTTATCCTTCTAAATTCAATCAAGGCCAATGAAATAGTTGAATGTAGTTTGTTCTTTGGTGGATACTTTTTTGTCAAATAGCCATGAAAGACTCTCCTCATATCCAAACAACAAACAGTCTTCTCTGACAAAAGTTTTCAATCTTCCTATATCCCTTATTGGAACAGTAGAATATGCCTGTACCATCGCTTCATGTTTTTGAGCTTTAACTGCTGTAGTATTATACACATCCGTCATTTTTCTAGCTTTCTCTAGTTCCTGTATGAATTTATCATAGTTTATAGTCTTATTCTTAGAAAATGGCATGTTGATATGTTTAGATATGACTGCGGTTATCTGATAGTACCTCCATGCCCTTTGGTAAAGATTGAATATGTTGATGTGTGATCCATTTATTTTTTTCAGGGTTAAATGAAAATGTTGCATTTCTGACAACAAATTTGTCCTTTTTCCTAAATGTTCCTGAGATTTCTTACTGAAATGTCTGTTGTTCCATTCATTTCTAAGATAAGCAATGTCTGATGACATTGTTTCTAATTTACCAATAAAATCAAATTCATAGTTACAAGGGTTGCACTCGGCAGCCATGGGTCTGATATGTTCGTCCATAATGTGACCAACTTCAAATTCTTCCACAATATACCGTATTAACTCAGCAAACGTTACATCGTGGCCGTATATTAGACTGTCCTGTGATGGATTCTCTCTTAATCTTCTTATGATATTTGTACCTAATGGATACCAATATCCTTTTGGGAAATAAAACTTATTCGAATACGTAGAAAATAATCGACCATATGGTTCCCTTACAAAGAGAAACTTGTAAGAGTTTGTAATTTCGATTTTTTTCTTTTTATACGGCAACTTCCGGATTAATTTGGAAGAATTTCTTAAACAATTAATATCACAATTAAACATTTCGGCAAGATTATTGATCATATGTGTTGAAGCGGCTTTACTTACTCGACAATATAATATTGAATTGTTAGGCGTCGTTAATGCCCGAAGTATACTTTTACTTAACTTTCCATGCAGGTATCTTTCGTTTCTAGTGAGGTTTCGGATTGAAGAGTAACACTGCTGTTTTACAAATTTCTTTCTTTTGATGTTTCTTGCTTTTACTTCTTCAAAGTTATAAAGCTACAAATAAAATTTATATGTGTAATTGATAATCAACTAAATCATAACATTAATCAATAGATTTCCTATTGAATTTATGTACAAGATTGACCAGTCTCAAATTTGACACTGTCATTTTAATAACTAAAGAATTTTAATATCAAAGATCAAAACTTTAGCAACATACATAATAGAGAAGGAAAAATAATAGGTAGATCGGTCCTTTTGTTTAGCAACTCCTACAGCTCGAAAGATTTAAAACCTATTTTCATAATGACAAGGTATGATAAAGGTATAATATTATTAAAGCTATTATGGACGTTAAGGATTCTTATCTTTAGAGGAATGATAAGGAAAAAAGATAAGGTTAAACAAACTGCCTTTATTATGTATTACCAATATTTTCAACACAAACAATTGAGTAAAAAGAATCCCTAATGATCACCCAGAATGAAATAACAAAATGATATTGGTGCCCGCTATGTTACATTGTGCCTGTTCATGGACGGTATCGGAAGGCGCAAGTTGCTATCTACACCCCTTAGAACTGGATTTAGCAGAGCACAACATCTAACATGTAACGGTGAACTTTATAAATGAAATATCCACAATAGTGTTCATAAAAAGTCAATATTATTGGTATAAATTACATTACTGCATTATTTTTATATCTTACTGATTTGATTCTTACTAACAGTAGTTTAAAAAATATTAATTAACACTAATTCACTTCCATTGAATATGACTTTGTCTGACAACATATTTTGACTATTTTATCCATCGAAAATGAAACAGTAAATACTATTTTAGGATGCTCCGTTGTTAAAACGTTGTTTGCATAAATTATTAAAATTGTTGAACATCGAGAATATAAAATATTGATTGATATCTTTATTAAAAGAGCCAATTAATCGTGCTTTATATGATACTTAGATATAAAAATCTATATTCATTAATGCAGGGGTAAAAAACAAAACAAATGTATTTCATAAAAGTTTTAAATCATCGTCTGATACCCACGGTTAACATGTTACCAAGCCGTTAGTAAAATTTATCGAGATTTGCGTCGATATACAACAAAAGGTGCGTATAATATCGATATGTTTTGAAGGCAAAGGCAATAACTATCATAACAGTAAATTTTCTTTGATTCTTTGCTGGAAATCGTTCATATCTATGATATTGAACTTTACTCGACTGGTCCGCAATTGTGTCTGTTATAACGAACATCGTTTTAAACTTGAAATTGTAAGGCCACCATCAATGAAAAAAGCTTTCTTTGGTTAACATCTAAAATGATGGATATCGGCCAAAAATCTAACGGCTGATAATTTTGGCCGTGGGTATCAGACGATGGTTTAACATTTACCTCTGTAATGATATATGTAACAAAAAATAAATTGAAAATATGGTTCAGAAAATTATTTACTTTTCATTTTAACATAAGTCCTCTCATTTGAAATTTAAATGCAGCGCTTATTGTTAAAATTTGAGGTATAAGTAATACATACGCAAATTCTTTAAATGATATGTCCATATGCATGCGTTAATATTTCCTTAAGTTATTTCTTTCCCTTGATCGTAAATTTGTGGCATGTGTTCATGTTTTTAGATGAGTTACTTTTAATATTTCTGGTAAGGTGAATGTGAGTTATTCCTTAAAAATGATTATTATTTATTATTTATAAGACACATCCTGTGTTGAAGGGGATGTCATTGACCACCACATATCTATGACGAGGGTTATATGCTGTTTTTTTAATATCTTCAAACTAGAAAGGCTCAATGGAGTAATAGAGTTTTACAAGAGAACAATTATTTAGGATGACATTTAAAAATTTTGAAATGTAAATAAATATTCACTAAAAATTATTCACAAAATATAAAAAATAATAGAGATATTCTTACCTCTTGGCGCACTGATGTCCTTTTGTGTTGTGTTATGAGCTTGAAGCTGCTGTCATTATGTTTAAATGAATCTGATATGAAAGAAAATATTATTTTTAATGTCACTGCTATGCTTTTCTACTTTGGTTGATGAATCAATCAAGTCCAAGACTTTGATATAGTATTATCTTAATATATCTCACGTTACATGAAAACATAATCGAACCCTTAGGGCATGGACAAGAATTAAACAAACATTGTTTTATTATGCAATGATTTAACTCTAATTTACATCTTTTTGTGAAAGTTTTAACGAGTTATAACTATTTTGCAATGAGGAGTATGTACATTTTTGTTATTTTCGATGTTGAGGCAATTTTCCTTCTTGTAAATAATTTAGAACTATTCTTCCACCAACATCTCAGATATTAATTTTGTAAACTAAAGGCATCAGGTATATAGCTTTATAGGCTTTAAAGGCCAGTTATGCCTCAGAAAAGCGATCATTTCTATTTCTTGAAATTGTTTTTTTATTTCATGTATTTTGTTAGGTTTACCAAAAATACTCATTTGCCATTTGCACATCTTTTGCTGATTTTATTATATTGGCAATTTGCAAAATCATAGGGAATTAGTATTTTGTATGGAAGTCACAATTAGCTACTTTTACACACATAACTGTATGTTCTTTGCTATTTTGTTTTCTTACTAAACATATAACATGCTCTATCATCAATCATCAAAACATCATTTAAAGATCCTGTAACTTTGTATTATTTATGGTTTTATATCAATATTATATTGCGCAAATGAAGATTTATCAATATTGTAAATTCCAAAAAGATTTATTTATAAAGATATTACCGTATTTACATTTAATGTTAATAAAGGTAGGTAGTTAGAAATTTATTTTCTATATCGTCCAAGTCAATTTTTTCAATAAGACATGAATGCATATATTTTAATAATTACATATAATATGGACAAATATTTGACGTACATATTTCACAATGTTATTTCTTTATGATCATGATTATTAATAGCAACGGATATGCATGTATACAATCATTTATAATCCATATGTGTAACGCATGATCAACACCACACTTGTGGAATTGTCTCTTATTATGTTATCGCTTTTAGCGAAGACCCCCTCTTAAGGTATCTGTTCACACTTAGTAAAAATATGACACTGGTTATATGACCATGTTGATCATGTTGAGCATAATTGTTTATTATACAATAATTGTAATATCTATTTTAATATAAAAAAATACAGATTTAATGAATATTGTTTTCCTCTCTTTTTTCGTGTTTTATGTGCTATTTTAATACTGAGTTTTCACGTTTACTACTCTTTTTTTGATTAAAATTGTAAAATAATTTTAAGAATTTAATAGTCATATTGACCGACGATTATAAGTCAAAACTGAACTAGAAATCAGTAAATTATGCTTAATCTTTCAATATATAATATTGCTTATTCTTAAACCATGTACATGTACATTTGTATTTTTCTTTATCATTTTTTTAAATTATCAATCAATTGAATAATTCATAAAATCTAATTTGTAACTTTGAATAATTCCTGGGCATCTTTACTAAACACGAATAACAAAATAAATAAAAGTTTCAAAGTTGATAGTGTCATATTTATACCATAAAAATGTACCTTTTTCTCAATTATTGTACATATTTATTGTTTTTATCTCATATTGATAAAATGAAACATGCTATTGTTGTTGTTGTTGTTGTTTTTTCGAATTGTATGTTTATGTATAATAATAATCAATAAATTTGAGAGTTGATCTATGTTTATTAATTATTGACAAACATTCATTTTGGAAAAAAGCTTATTTATCTGTAAAATATCTGTTCTGTTCTGTAACGATATCAAACATCTACTCCAAAACCGGGAGAGACCGGACAATAAACGTGTGATACTATTCGCCGGTCACTAGTAAATCCCGGTCAAAATAGACCGGGAGAGACCGGGAATTACCGATAGCAGTACATCCCATTTATAAATAGATTTTCGGAATGTTTAGGTCATCAACTCATCATTCTATTTTAACATACCATAATAACCCACTGTGTACTACAAAATGATAAGTAAAAAAACCGAAGAGACGGAAAAGGTTATTTCATGCATTGCGAAATTCTCCAGTTCACTATTCATTGTACATATCGAGACATTTTTTTTTAATCAAGCACCCTCATACCAATCGGAATGATCGGCTTTTATTATGACCGACTATAAGGCTCGAGAAGTTGCTGTCGCCCTTTCACAAAATCTGATTTCATTCCATAAGGGCGTCGTGCTTCGGCGCGGACGCCAATAAACAAGGTCAACAGGGAAAGGCGGCGTTCAATGAACGCAAGCGCCTCACGACCTATCAACGAGAACCAGTAGCAAGGAGTCCAGGTGGACCCCAAACAAAAACAGGACAGGGCACAGCCGACGGCTTAACATTGATACTGCTTGGTTTTGCGCATGCGTCAAGATGGCGGTTAACTTCAAAACCAGATTTGGTTCAGAAATGACTTAGTAAGTTTAAAATACTATTGAATAATATGAGAGTAAATAGGTAAAAGCAGAAAACGGACTAAATCTTAGGTATCACCTGATGCGGAAAACCCTTATACTGAACAAAAAAGCACCGCTATTGATAAAAAGTATCTTTTTATTGCAGTCAATTCTCTCTAATGTAGGTAACAGATGCTTTCTGCATCAACTACAACCATCCATTTCTGATATGATGTCACAGTCTCAGACGCAGTATTGTCATAATTCAGGCCGTTTATTGACAATAAGGTAATTATGTCAAAACTCGAAGCATTGACTAACGTTTGCATATAATGGATCCTATGGAGGAAGTTTAAAACATAAACTCTAGAATATCTTCAATTAATCATAGAATATCTACTTTTGAATTCAAAATGTCTGATTCGAATGGAACAATACTAGAACTTGAGACAAGAAACACCAGAAAGAACTGGTTTTAAGTGTTAGAAAGATTTTTTAAAATAAACTTGCCAAAAGGCAAGTCCAGTTTAACTTCAACTTGTCCCTCTAGTTATATGGTTAATAGACACTTTTTTCTTTATGATAAAAATGTGAAACTTTTCACAAATGACCCTATCAACTGTGTGGCAGCTGTAAAAAGTTGCCGAGTACTTCACTTCAGTGCTAAAGCCGGTGCAATAGGACGTTGATGGTAACTTGAAATCTACAGTACCGTCTATGAACAGGCTCAATAAAACCGTTATTATAACAATTTCAATTGTGCCGTGTTGGGCTTTCTTTAGAGATTCTGTTGTTCTCTATTTTATTGTCACATCAGTGTTATTTGTGCTGTTTGGCGACTGTAAAAAGTCACCCCTTACATTTAATCAAAGATATTATATTTTCGATCATTGAAGATAGTTTAGCATGACATTATTGTTGTGAGTGCATGTTTTTGGTACTTTCAGTTTTTACAAGTTTGGTGTAATGGTTCCAGTATTTTTCACTTGAATACAGTTGAATCACCCCGAGGATATGTTGTCGCTCTTTGATTTTGTCTTGTGACAGCTTATCTGTGATACGCAGGCTTCATAACCTATGATCTCCTTTCAAAATTCCATTTTATTTAGTTTCGCCAATTGGATTTTCATTCAGGATAAACATATTTATAGGTCGCCTTAAAAAAGCGTTGATGTTGACGTAGCCGTCCGAAAACTTGTATGTTGATAATAACTTTCAAAAGTTTTGGTGTATTGTCTTCATCCTTGACCACAGCAACCCATGGGACAAGACTTTTCAGCAGACAAGACTAACCTTCACCTTCATCCATAGATGACCTTGACCTTCAATGTCAAATGTTCAAATTTTGCTTGTTTCTTGCTTTTAGTGGCTATAACTTTGTTATTTTTGAATGGATTAAACATGATAATTTTTAAGGAAAACCCTTTATGTTAACAAGACATACCTTGTCTTTCACTCATATATAACCGCTTCCGTGGTCGAAGGATTAGAGTCGATGACTTCTAATCCAGTTATCACTCTGGCGTGGGTTCGATCCTCGGGAGATGTTTTGGTAGTTTAGCACGGAGGAAGGTAGTCTAGTACTGGTGTAACTCTCCAGGAACGATGGTTAGGAAACTACCCGCCTATATGACTGAAATACTGTTGGAAAAAGCCGTAAAATGAAACAAACAAACAAACAATCATATATGACCTTGAAGGTCCAATTAATGAAATTTTTATTTATGCAAACACATTATTTTGGACAAGACCTTCTGAAAGGTTGAACTTATTTTGACCTTGAGCTTTAAATGACCTAGACGGTCAAGGTCAAATTATTAAATTTTGTGTTAAATTTTGAAAAACTGTGAAAAACCTTGTTGACTCTCTATAGGGTCACAATTTTGAAGTGATTTTCGTCAAACGTTGTGAAAATGTATAACTCTATGATAAACAGGTTTAAATATGGGTCATCTTGGGCCAATAAGTAGGTCACCAGGTCACATCAAAGGAAATCGTTGTTAACACTCTAGAGGTCACAATTTGAGTATCTAATAAACTTTGCACATTTTCATTATCCCTCATGTACAGACTCAATCAAACCGAGTCTGCAATTATCTTGTAATTTTGTTGTGATTAATGCTTCCGAGGGATCACTTTGTTTCCAGATTTTGTCTAAATGATTATCTCAGTGATGTACAGGTTAAGTTGAAATATATTCATATCCAATGCAAAACTAGGTCACTAGGTCAAAACAGGAAAAAACTTGTTAACAATGTAGAGGTCGCAATTAATGTGCTTTTCATAAACATTGTCAGATTGTGTGATTATGGGTCATTTAAGTTCAAAAAGTGGACGATAAAGGGCAATCATGGCCTCTTGTTTCTATAACGATATAACATTGTGATTCGTTTATTGGAACTCTAATGGTAACACATTTTAAAAACCAATTAAAAAACAGAAGCAGTATAAAACTACAAAAATTATGTTGATGTGATAAAGTCCAGAATAAAATTTGCAAAGTAATAACCTCTACATAACCACAGAATTTATTTCTTTGTGCAAAAAGATTAAGATGAATT